CTTCTGGCTTTTTTCTTATGTGGTGCTGAGGAATCGAACCCAGGGCCTCGAGCATGCAAGGCAAGTGCTCTACCACTGAGCCACCTTCCCAGCCCTCAGACTGTTTTAAGTGACAGCTCATGAGGGACTTGGAGAAAAGGAAGGGCTATGCTCACCTCCAGTGTACTAGGAAGTTCTTATACATTAGTCTCTTGAGAGCCACCCTGTGCCCAAAATACCTGCAGAGTCAAGTGCCCACCTATGTGTCTGCTGTAGCTGTGGGTAGCACAACACTCATGAAGCTTCTGGGAAGCAGAAACGCCCCATAGCTTACCTAGTCTCTCACCCTTTGGGGACTGTGACTCATATTTGATTTCCTCTGTTCACCAAACCTGGGTTCTAGTTTCTTCATGTCCTGGGGGATTCTGAGAACAAAGCTACCTCCTCAGCTGGGCTCTGACAGCTTCCTCCACACAGCTTCCTGTTGCCAATAAATGACCTTAGACAAATTCTTTCACTACCTTCAGTTTAGTGTCTATGGATCCCTGTACTGAGCATCTCATGCTGAAAAGTGAATGAAGCAGCATGTGTAGGAGTTGTTCTGAGAGTTGAAGGAAGCCTATAACAGCACAGTAGCCAGGGGCGAGGCCTGGCATCTGGCTGAAGCACCCTGAGCAGCCACCAGGGGGAGCCCTTCCCATGCATGAAAGAGGCCCCCTCACAGCCCACACATGCCCTGGATGTATGTGAGACAGGCACAGAAGTTGGTTTCTATAGGCTTGGGCACTACTGCTCTAACCCTGTGTGTGCTGGTCACTCCTTGGGGAAAAGGCAAAAGGATGTGAGCCACTTCCCTGGCACATGCCTCACTTTTCTACTCTCAATGAGCCATGCCAGGCCACACACTCACCAGTATACTACCACTGTATGCTTCATGTATTTGAGCAGCTTCTTGGTCTCAAACAGAAGGGGGATATCCAGGATCACGTAGCGGTATCCTGGGAAAAGATGGAAAACCCTTGTGTTCAATTCTGTAAGCATACCACAGGACCCTGTATGTGACTGGTCCCTACCATCTAGAGGACCCCAGCAGAGGGGACACATTCCAAGGGCAGATAGACCCTGGATAGCATCCAGTTCCATTACCATTCAGAGCAGAATGTTACAGAAGATCATTTCTGGCTGTCTAGAAAGGTTGGCATCTGTAGTGGTCTTGAAAAGCAAGGAAGAGCCTTGATACTTGAAATGAGGTCAAGGTGAGGAGACCAGGAATGAGGAATGGCAGAGCTGAGAAGCAGGGAGGTTCCCCTGTGCCCAAGTGGTAGACTCATGCAGTGTAGTAAAGTTGACGAGGTGGGTCAGGGCAGGCATGGAGGGTTTACTTCCCCTTGTTTTTCAGACTCAAAAGTTATTCTATTTAAAAAAAAAAAAGTTATTCTAAAGCTGGGTACTGGTGCCTCATGCTTGAAATCTTAGCTACTCATGAGGTTGAGATCCAAGGATTGTTGGTTCAAAGCTAACTGGGGCAGGAAAGTTGAGAGTCTTATCGCCAATTAAACAGCAAAAAGCTGCAAGTAGAGTTGTGGCTCAAGTGGTAGAGTGCTAGTCTTGAGCAAAAAAAAAAAAAAAAGCTCAAGGATACTGCCTGGGCCCTGAATTCAAATTCTAGTACTGGTGCACATGCGCACACATGTGTGAGCACACGTGCACACACATACACACACACAAGTTGTTCTGAGTAGGAACATGACATAGGGTTGTAGGAGACTGGGGAGAGTTTCTGGGAGTAGGTGGGCTCTTTCTGCCCTACTCCATTCTATCTTTGCTCAAAACCGCCCAAAAGGTAGGTTCTCCCCATAGCCAAGACCAGGCCTAGGCCCGTGCAGAAGAGTGCTGACGCTATCTCTACAGCTCACTATGAATCTAATGAAACAGGGCCAGCGGCAGCACCAAAAAGAAAGAAGCTGTTTCTTGCCTCTGAGGCAAAAGTTCCAACTAATAGCACACAATTCCCTCAAGGCCAGCACTACCAGCCCTCCCTGCACAGGGCAAGCCAGACAGAGGCAGCACCCGTAGGTACTATGAGTGGCAAGTCCCCAGGCTGCCTGCTTCTGCTTTTCTTAATCTCCCAGAGAAGATAAAGCTGGGAGAGGCAGGAGAGGAGAGAAGGGGAGGGACACTGTCTCACTCTAGCCACAAAATCAAACACATGTCATACCAATTCAGAGGTGTCACAGGAAATCAGTGCTCTAAGTGTGATGTGGGGGATGGGGATAGGGAGGAGGTGACAACCTGAGTTGCTGGGGTTCCTATAGCTCAAGAAGCCTAAATGAAGCCGGGAGTTGAAAGCATGGTTCTGCCCACATCCTTAGTTTGTGGCCCCCACCTCCTACACATATGGCACTTAGCAAACCTCATCTGTGCAACAAGTAAAGGAATATATATTTCATAGGACCACAGAAAAGATTAACTGAGTTTGGGACACGTATACATTACGACTTAGCCCCTCACTAAGCACCCCCTAAATAATACTTATTATTGCTATTGTTCCCAGGAGGAAGAAGGCCAGCCAGTGCAGATTCTCCCGCCCTCTAATACATCCCCTTCAGCTCAGAGCAAGAGAAAAGAGCAGATTCTCTCTGGGCCTCTTATCTTCCTCTCCTGCTCCGCTTCTATCGCCTCGCCTCTCACTGTCCTTTCTCCTGGGTCTCTCTCTCCGGAGCTGGTGGTCAGCTCTTTGGTTCACCGGCAAAGGGCTATTCAGCTGTCACATCCCTCTTGCTTGATAAGCCCTGCAAACCATCCTGACTCTATTAAGACATCCGCCAGCCTATGCAGAGACCTCCCCAACAGCTGGTGATCTTATCTGACGTTTGATTATACCAACTTTGACAGTTGTATTTGTTATACTCATCAGGGAAAAACTGGGACTATGGAAGCCACAGCTGTCGTCCCCATTTTTCACCTTATCGAGCTGAAAAGAGCTCTCTGGCTTTCATTTAACGGTGGTGGATGGGGAGGTGGGGAGACCGGGTGGTGACACAGTGGGAGAGCTTTGGAACGGGTGACATTATCCGATGTTTAATTTCAGAAGGGAAGAGCCCGCTGGTGCCTTGTAGCCCTGCAGATGTACTTGTAACTGGCCTGGGAGCAAACGCAAAGGGCAGGAATGAGAGGCAGAAGGCTTCGCTAGTGAAGGGGGAGGGGGACAGGGACTGGCAGACATGGGTAGAAGGACAAAGGCAGAAAGTACAGACTCTTTTTGAGAGAGGAGGCAGGGATGGGGCTGCAAAGGGACATTGGGACAGACAGCACAAGACGGCCCAGAGATACAGATGCCAGGAGCCAGCTCCAGCCCCAGCCAGAGCTATGGAAACAGAAAGGCAGGGGGAGTGAACAGCATGGAAGTTTGTCAAATCACCCTATTCTGGAAAGGGAGTTATTGGGCAGAGGGGCATGAGGGAAGGAGGTTCCTCACTCAGTACATGAGAACCTGAGGCATCATAAAAAAGGGGTTTGGCCATAGTCACAATATGAAGGCCTGAAGAAAACTCAAAAGGCAGCTTCATATCCCTCCAGATAGTGAGGCCTCGCTATTCTAACTGATGGCAGCAGCCAGGCCTTCAACTCAAGAGGCCCAAGCAAGCTGTAGGACCATGGGGAAGATCTCCAGGCTAGTCTCTGCCCTTCCTTCTGGTGTCTGACTCCATCCTAGAAAGCTGTCAGGTCACTCCTGCCTAATACTGTCTTACAGAACACAGTGAAGGTTCTTCCTATCTGACCAAGGACCTTGACTTTTCAAACACTCTTCTTTTCCATCTTGCCACATCCCTGGCTGCCCTGGACCTTCCAGGCTGACTGCCTCTGTGGAGGCCTAGTCCCAGAAGAGGATCCTCTCTTGAGTTCCCTTCCCCCTGGCCAGCACCAAAACCAACTGACTATGCTTTCTATTTGTGAGACAATCAGGTCACTGACATGAATACTGTCTTCCTACAGCTTTTCAAGGTTGGCATCTTCCCAACAGCTGAGGAAACAGACCATTCAACCAATTGACACAACTGGATACTATCAGAGCCAAGACATAACTTCAGGTCTGCAACTACATCATTCATCAGCTTTCATTACAGTACTTCGTACTTCCTGGGGATCACGGCTCAACACTCTCACGTGCCTCTTCTCATTAAGCTGTCAACTTCCTAAGATGGAAGAGACTATGCTTGCTTTCTCTAGGGTGTGGCAGAGAGGAGTGCTAATAAGCAGTGTGAAGTCTGCAGCCTGGATGACCAGTTCTCCTTCCCTGGCCCCAACCTTCACTGAGAAAAAGCCCCAGCCCTACAGGGGCTCGGCACCCCTGCCAACCCTTCCTAAGGTCTCACCCCGGAGGAAATACTTGAAGGTCTCCTTCATCATTTCCTTGTGGATCTCAGGGTGAGTGATGGAGTTGAGCAGCTGGCGCTGATCAGGCTGGTTGAAGATCAGGTCCCCTAAGACCTTGCGATTGATGTTTCCATCCTCCAATAACACCTCAGTGCCAAAGGCCTCTACAATGCGCTGGTGAGCAGGGTACCCTGGCTGGACAACTGTGGTAGGAGAAGAAGAGGCAAAATGATGGGGGGACCCATGGTTGCTTCTTTCCGTTGGAACAGAAACAAAATGGGGAGCAGGGAGAAAAAACAGTGAGGAAAGAGCAGAACCCTCAGGCTTGATGGGGCATGAAAGAGCCTGATAGACCAGGCAAAGAGGAGGTGAGCAGGCAAACTGGGGCAGGCAGGAAGGCAGATCAGGGCCAACAACAAAGCCTCTCTCCTTCAAGGCCTCAAGAGGACTTACAAAAAGAAGGAAACTAATGGAAGAAAGGTAACAGGCAAGGTTCTGTGGGCAAGTCCCTCTCCCCTCCAACTCACCATGCCGGGCAATGACATCCACGTCAATCACTGCACAGCCCAGCTGCTGGAATACCTGGATCACAGAGCTCTTGCCTGAGGCAATGCCCCCTGTCAGGCCTACCAGGAACATCTTCTGGGGAAAGAGGAAGTTCAGCCAGACTGGGAGCTGGAAGCCAGGGAATCACTGATGAGAAGGTCAGTACCAGAAGGACCTGCTGACAGAAGCAGACAGGACTGGTCAGCACTGGGCTGGACCCGGGGAGGAAGGCATAGGAAGGAAAGGGAAACACGGCAGGGCGGGCAGGGCCCAAGTCTAGGCTTGGAGAGCTCTGAGGGTTCTGAAGAAGAAACACTGTAGTATTTGTTAAGTAGCACTGATACAGGGCTGGTTCAAATGGTAGAGTCCTTGCCTAGCGAGTGTGAGTCTCTAACTCCCAAATGCACTATCAAGAAAGAAATGCACCAAAAAGAAAGAAAGGGAAGGAAGGAAAAGAGGAACAGGAGAAGAGTAAGGGGAGGGGAGAGAAGGAAGGAAGGAAGGAAGGAAGGAAGGAAGGAAGGAAGGAAGGAAGGAAGGAAGGAAGGAAGGAGGGAGGGAGGGAGGGAGGGAGGAAGGGAAGGGAAAGAAGGGAAGGAGGAAGGAAGGAAGGAAGGAAGGAAGGAGGGAGGGAGGGAGGGAGGGAGGAAGGGAAGGGAGGGAAGGGAAGGGAAGGGAAGGGAGGAAGGACCAAGTCAATTCAGCAGGTAGGGCATGGTTGAGGCTGTTAGGTAGAATGCTCAGTGGAAGGAGCAGGCTCTGTTGCTAGCAGACTTCCTACAGGAAAAAGACATCTGTCCATCTGTGGTGAATCCAAGACACCCTCAGATCTCCACAGACTTTCCCTCTAGTCTGGGACACTATGGTTCTGCCTGAATCAGGAAGAACCAAAATAAAGTCTGGACGCCCAGGCCTTCCTTACTCTTTGGGGGGCAGGGAGGCAGGGGCAATGCTGAAGCTTGAATTCAGCTCACCTCATGACTACTTGGCTTGCTTACTCCCTGCTGGCAGAAGCCACCGATGCCCGGATGGAAGTGAGGCTGGCGATTAGGAAGGGGGGAGGGGTAATACTGTGAGGCACAGGAAAACAAAGAAATTGACACAATCATGCCCACTCCTACCACCTCACCACAATGGTCAGGCTACATTTTCTGCAGCGAATTGGGTAACCATGTCTTAGACTTCATGCCCTGGCTGGAAGCAATTTTATCAAACCACCCTTCCTTCAGCATCAAGTCCCTTCGCCAGGTCTTTGAAATCTGTCATAGGACCTATTTGTTAAACAGCAGATTTGCTGTCCTAATTATACTTTGCTCAGGCTTAGCCTGAAACGAGTTTGCCTCCCCTGATGACAAACCAAAGCACAGGGGAGGCAGCTGCTCACATATGGGCTGAGTGGGTGTGTGCCTTGGGATGGCAGGGAACCAGCCTTAAGTTTAAATCTGCCTGGGCTCAATCTCACCCAGGGGCTCAAGGGCAGAGAGAATATCTACCACTTTCCTCATCCAGAGATCCAACTAAAGCAAAAAGGAAGTCTAGAGTATGGTTTAAGTAGTAGGGCAAGTGCAAGGTTCTGAGTTCAAACCCCAATACTGAGAAGTTGGGCCATTTAGCTGAAGACGTGCAGTAGAGAATACACCACCAGTGGTTTTTTTTTTTTTTTTCTTTTACTGGGATGGAGAATACTGAGGATTGAACTGACATTTGCTAGATTGGTGTTTATCACGAGCCATTCCTCTAGCCCTGCTGTTTTTTGCTGGTTATTTTAGAGATGGAGTCTAGTGAACTTTTCTGCCTAGGTTGCCTTAAACAGTGACCCTCCAGATCTCAGCCTCCTAAGTAACTGAGATTAAAGTTAGGAGCCACTGGTGTCTGGCTCTCCCAACCAGTGCTGCTTTCATTAAAGTAAGCTTTTCTTCTGCTGTAGACCAGTCTGGAGGAGCTAGAGTGGGAAAGGTCAAGTCTGGTGAGAAGGCAAAAGACAGGGCTCTGATCTCTTGTCATTGAGGCAAGCTTTTATCACTCCTTTGCCAGGCTAAGCTGAAGTGGCCTGGAAGACCAGCTGGCATAGCAGATCCCAATTCACCTGTACATAGATGCCCAGACCTGTCCTGAGACTTGGTGAACTAGATTCTCTGGGGAGCAGGAATTAGACTAATTCTTCACTCATAGACATAGTGAGCAGAGACATTAGGGACCTGCCTAGGCCATGGTTGTTAGCAGAGGCTTGTGTAGACTCTGGTCTTTAATGTACTCAAGGAAGGAACAGCTAACTTAAGACTTACAAAATAAGAAAGGTGAACCTATCTAGAAACAAATGGATTCAGTAGCGAAGTGATTTCTTTCTTCCTTTCATTCTTTCTGTGGTTTAGGGCCTTGTGGTTGCTAGGCAAGTGCTCTATCACTTGGGTCACCTATCTAGTTGGATAAATACTGCAGTGTTTTATTTTGCAGAATGGGAGCAAGAGCTTCAGCACCCCCATGTAAACTGTAGGCTCTCAGGGAAATCTAATGAATAGTTTCCTTTCTCTTCTCAGTGTCTTGGATGGCCATCTGTGGGAACAGATGGGTGGTTGGCCTCCGTGAGGAAGGCCAGGGGGACAGACAAGCATGTGTCTGGGGAGGGTCTGGACTGCTGGCCTGTAGGGGCTGAGTACCAGCTGCTACTGTCCAGCAAGCCCCTCAGCGGCTCATTCCTTTACCAACTGTTGACTGAGACTTGTGCTTGGCCACAATGGTTGTGATGACCTTGGTCTTGACCATGGGGAAACTGGAGACAGAAACAAATGAGAACAGCTGGGAGGAACAGAGCACTGACAGGAGCGAGAGCAGTCAGGCAGTGTTCACCTGGGCCAGCTGCTGTGTGAGCTCCTTCCACACTGCTGCCCCACACTTGCTGTTGGGGGATATGGGAAGAAGACCCACAGCAAAGCAAGGACCCTCCTGTGAAGGCCTAGCGAAGGGGAAATGGAGGCTTAGCTGCTATGCCTTCTTCAAGTCCCACTCAAACTTGCTAGCAGCTTCCCCAGGCACACATGGCCAAGTTGAGAACCCATATTCATGATTCTGTTCTTCCTGCTCTGAATCAAGTCATTATTCTCCACAATCCAATACATTTTCCTCATTCCACTCTGACTTTCACAGAGCAGAGGGACTGATGCAGGACAGGTCAGAGAAAATGAGGCATGAGAAACAGAAGCCAGGAATTCAGAGACAAACATTCTATCAGCGAATAGCTTGACTGAAAGCACATGGGCAATGGGCTGGGAAGGTGGCTCAGTGGTAGAGCGCTTGCCTTGCATGCCTGAGGCCCTGGGTTCGATTCCTCAGCACCACATAAGCAAAAAGAAAAAAGCCAGAAGTGGCGCTGTGGCTCAAGTGGTAGAGCACTAGCCTTGAGCTGAAGACCTGAAGGACAGCGCCCAGGCCCAGAGTTCAGGCCCCACGACCGGACGAAAAAAAAAAAAAAAAAAGCACATGGGTAAGACTTCTTTTACTTGAAGCTGCATAATCCCTCTCTAAACTACACCTATGGTTTTTTGTTTTTGTTTTTTTTAAAGCAGCTTTCTCCCTCTTAACCTTGCTTGCTTGCCCAAATGATTACTGCAATCTGAGAAATGACCAAAAATATCTTAAAGAATGACTTATCCTGGGGAAAAAACATTTGGCAAAATGACTCCTGTGATCAGAGAAGTGTTTACAAAGGGGAAAAATTATCTGTTGGTTTTTTTTTTTGGGGGGGGTCCGGTTGTGGGGCCTGAACTCTGGGCCTGGGCGCTGTCCCTCAGCTCTTCAGCTCAAGGCTAGCACTCTACCACTTGAGCCACAGCACCACTTCCGGCTTTTTTTTCTTGCTTATGTGGTGCTGAGGAATGGAACCCAGGGCCTCATGCATGCAAGGCAAGCGCTCTACCACTGAGCCACCTTCCCAGCCCAGGAAAAACTATCTTAAGGAGCTTAAGCTCCTAGCTTAAAAGATGCACCAAAGCCATCCTTTGTTTAAAGGAAAAGAAGACATTCCTGCCACAATGACCCAAACGTAGTAGACTGACCAGTTCGAATATCTCAGTGTACCAGCAGGAAGGGCTGAATATGCCAGGTTTCCAGAACAAACGGCAGCACTCATCCTAAGGTAAATTTACACCGGAAGCCCCAGCTCAATTTTTTTATATAAATTCCCCAGGGTACATGAGAACACTCAGGTGCCTTTTTTTTGGTGCCAGTGCTGGGGCTTGAATTATGGGCCTGGATACTGTCCTTGAAACTTTGTGCTCAAGGCTAGTACTCTACCATTTGAGCTGCAGATTCACTTCCAGCTTTTTGTGGTTAATTGGAGATGCCCAGCTTACATGCCTCTTACTAGATGCACTCACACCTATTTTTATGAGTGTTATACCCTGCTGTGCCCTGCCCTTCCCCCCCTTTCCTAATAAACTTTCTTAGGTTCTACCTTTACATATTCTACTAAAGTTCTTTTTTTGAAACAATATCATGAACCTGGTACCCATGGGGGCAGAGGCCTCTTTCCTTGGGAAGATCTCCCCTGCCAGAGCCTCACTCACTGGCTATGGTATGACTCCTCTATGAAACTGTCAAAGGGTTCAGAAAGCAAGTTCTACTCCAGCCTGACTAATCAGAAGCAGCTAGGTCAGAAGCAGCTAAGAGGCCTAAGTCCTAGTCTCTGAACTCTGCCATACAACTTCAGGGAGCTATCTCACCAGCCTGGCTCATGGTGGACAATGCTCCATAAATGACAAATAGTACAGCTCCAAAGGCCTTGCTTGCCTTCTCTAGGTCTCAGCCTCCACACATGTGAATGGGGCTGGGCTCCCAGTGTCAGGGCTGGGGCAGCTACTGGGAGAGGCTGTGAAGTTCATGGACATTTCTTCCTCTCCTGGGCGCAGTTAATAAATGTCCATCTGTGAACCAAGGAATGCCATGGCCAATCCTCTGTATGTCAAAGGCTACTGGCAGAGCTTGACAAGAGAGAAGCTAATGCTCAGTGCAGGAAAATGGAAGCTGGAAAAAAAGCAAAACTTTGATCTCAAGGGAACCACATCCAATGCTCATCGCCCTCCCATCCCCCCCCTCCCCACATACACACACAATTCTCCATGACAGTGGAAAGTCACAGAGTGTAGAGAAAAGGTAGCAGGGACTTCAAGGTAGAGAGCCAGTGTCTGCAAATCTGTAAGCTCAAAGGCCTAAGAAGAGGATGAAATCCTTGTTTTTGTTTTTTGTTGTTATTTTGTTTTGTTTTTTGCCAGTCCTGGGGCACTGTCCCTGAGCCTCTCTGCTCAAGGCTAGCACTCTACCATTTGAGCCATGGGGCCTCTTCCAGCTTTTTCTGAGTTTACTGGAGATAAGAGTCTCACAGACTTTCCTGCCTAGACTGGCTTCAAACTGTGATTCTCAGATCTCAGACTCCTGAGTAGCTAGGATTACAGGCATGAGCCACCAGAGTGCCTGGCTAGGAGCATGGAATTCTATCCTGCTTCATAAATGGTGGGCTCATCTCTGACCTTTTCCAAACTGCCTTCCAGGGGCTGGGAAGGTGGCTTAACAGTAGCGTGCTTGCCTTCCATGCATGAGGCCCTTGGTTCGATTCCTCAGCACCACATAAGCAGAAAAAGCTGCAAGTGGGGCTGAGGCTCAAGTGGTAGAGTGCTAGTCTACAGCTGAAGAGCTTAGGGACAGCGCCCAGGCCCAGAGTTCAGGACCCATGACTGACAAAACGAAAGAAAGAAACCAAATTGCCTTCCAGTATTTCCCTCTTGGGAAAAACAATAGCCCAGAGAAGACAAAGAAAGAACATTTGTGAAGAACTATCTCCCTTAAAACTCCTCTGACCACGTTTCTCTTGGAGAAAAATGGTAGTATGCTGCCTCACTTGCCCCAAAACAAAGCCCCACTGCTGGTCCTCTACATAGGCTTACATTGCAGCCTTATGGCCTGACTTTCCAGGCTCTGCTATTTTTCTATCCCAGGTAGCCAGGCTCACAGCTCAAAAAGTCATTTTATCATGTTATTCCCTTGCTTA